TCAAATTGAGTAAAAAAAAAAAGGACCATTGTGTCCTCACTGGTGGCCCCTCACTGCCTGTGGTGGAGTCAGGACTCTGCTGGGGCTGCCCAAGGGAACCAGGCAGAAAGGGACAAGGAGATGAGCACCCAGACCTGCTGGAATGACATCCTGGCCCTGAGGCTCTAAAGCCTGAGCCAGCTGAGGCCTCAGAGTCCCACACTCTGCAAGGAGCAGCTCCAGGGCTGAGGAAGATGGGAGCGGAGGAGGGATAAGGAAAAGGACCCTCAATACACACAGGGGCATATTTGCACACTCACATGCATGTATATACATCCATATGTATACACTCACACGTGCACACCCATGCACGCACACATGTGAACATATACCCATATGCACGCAAACCCATGCATGCTCACTCACACATGCATGCACATCCGCACACTTATACACACATCTGCATACTTATACACACAATACACAACAGGACCTATAAAAGAACTCCCACAGGTAAACTGAGCAGCAGGTGGTCTGAGCTCTGAAGTCAGCTGGCTGTGTAGCTCACCTGCTGGCGGCATGCTCACCTGCAGATCCAGAAGCAGACTGTGACATTTCAGCCTTAACACAGCAAAGAGCTTTCGACGCATGCTCCTCCCAGGCTTGGAGCCCTGGCTGAAGGTGAGACTTGCTCTGATCGAGGTCTGGGCATAACTGCAACACATGACATCCAGGAAGGCTGAAGATGGGCATTACAGTGTGTGCCCTAACTGCAAAGAGTCTCGTGTCCAGCAGGACCTGAAATCTCTGGGCTCAGATCTGTACTGCTTCCCTACATGCTGGGGTCCCCAAGTCTGCCACGCAATTTCCTTTTACCAAAACTACTCCAGAAAACTGCTCACCTGGCCAGTCCCCTGACCCACACAAGAATGACATGCTCCTGCTCTGGAGCGGGAGATAGCGCCGAGGCCTCTGACCTTTTGGGACTGTAGCCACATGTTGCACACAGAGCAGGGACAGGGCTAGACTGGCCCACGTACACCTGGCTAGGCGCACTTACCTGGAGTAGTCACAGAACACCTCCAGGGTCCGCGTGTCCAGCAGCAAGCCACACCAGGGGAACAGGCAGTGGGCTGGCAGCTGGAGGGGCGCCATGCTGCCCAGGGCATCGTCTTCCAGGGGGAAGTTCACTACAGTCTTCCGCAAGTTCGCCTTGCAGCCGTATTCGGGCACTCCCCTGGACAGGGTCCTGAAACAGACAGGCCGCTTTAGCCACTGGGAGAGGGATGCCACTCAGGGTCTCGGACACAGTCACTCAATGCTATGTAAAACCCCAAGAGGCAGCGGGGAGCAAGGGCTGGCACTGGAGGGAGGCCACACCGACCCTGTGGGCCTCCAGGTGCTGGTTTCCAAAGGCTCTGGATGACCAGTGCCAACGATCAAAGAACAGGGTGGCTGAGCAGTGTGAGGAGACGAGATCGACCCCCGGACCGAGCAAGGCCTGCGCGCTGCTGCATCCCCGCGTCCCGCTCGGACGTCCCGCCACCATCGCCATCATGCCCAAGAGAAAGGCTGAAGGGGATGCTAAAGGAGATAAAGCCAAGGTGAAGAACGAACCACAGAGAAGATCCGCCAGGTTATCAGCTAAACCTGCTCCTCCCAAGCCAGAGCCCAAGCCTAAAAAGGCCCCTGCAAAGGTGAGTGGGACTGGGGACAAGGTATTTCTAGGAGTCACATAAGGCTGAGCAGGATTTCATGTTGTTTACGGGAGATCTGCTATATAATAACTTCATCTGTTGGCACAAGTTGAGATATATGACAAAGTTAACAGGACTGGGCCTTATAACTATGCCCTAATTGTTCACTTTCACAAAAATGAAAACTATACT